TCTTCCTGGATAAAAGGGTCCCTAGGTTCTATGTAAATGATTATATCCCAAAGGCGTCCCCTTGAGATGTATCTGAAACAAGTTGCGGATTCTCATTGCTTCAATAGACCTGGATGTTTATATACACACCTAACATTACAACTCTTCAATCCAGGTTGCTGCAACCTCAAGGGTTGAGACCTCTGGTTGCAGAACTAGTCACCTTTATCCTAAAGGTAGAATCGTTGCAGACAACTTTTCAGCTCATGCTCATCCTGATAACATCAAGTCAGGTGTTGTGAGGGAAGATTAGGCAAGATTTGCAAAAGTGTCCTTGATGATGATGCAATCTTGATAACTCCAGGGCCATGTGGCCCCTCCCTGGAATTCTGTTGCATCATTGTATCCTCAGAGGAATCTTGGTCAGGTTAGCCTTGTGTACATGAGGAACATAAGAGAATGACTGTAATATATTGCCTTGACATTTTCTTGTAATTATATATTTAATATTAATGTTAATATTAATATTATGAAAAGCAAAAACAATACCAATTGTTTATTTATTTATCAAGAATCTTTAATAAATATCCAGACATACTACAGGTTCTGCCCCACATTTTGATTTCAATAAGTAATTTTATAAAATAATAAAAGATACAACACATCAATACATTTATATAAAACAATAAAAAAAATATATATACACAACAGGGTTGGCAAATTGACTGGTCCATTGAGAACAGATGGATTTTGGACTGGTCCATTGCCATTAATAAAATACTAAATATGGTTAAAGGGTTACACTAATGGACCCAATGGACCACCAATAGACCATCAATGGACTGCACATTTGCCAACCCTGATACACAATACAATAAAAAATGGTATATATACTTCTCGCTATTAATAAATAACAACACCTTGTCTTCTATAAAAACAAGCCATACCAAGTAACATTCACATTCCTCATCTTGTAAAAAATCAATTGTTTTTCAAAGAAAAAAAATCAATTGCGTCAACAAAAAAAACCAATAGGGGGATTTGTGTACAACACATACTAATACAAATAAAAAAAATTTTTTTGGTGTATCAGAATTTTTTTTTAATTCATTGATTCAATTTAATAAAAAAAAAAATGTCCAATTATAAAAAAAATACAAAAAGAAGAAACCAAGTTAATAACCGAGAAGAGTTTGTTGGTTAAGTAGTGTTTATCGTAAGAATGGTGGTTATCACCACCACTTGTCACTCTAGTTATTAAGAAGAACATTCTAGTTCTAATTTAATTAATTTTATTGATAAAATTGCTATCATCAGTACTCAAAGTTTTAATAACCAACCATCTTCTTCTTCCTCCTCATTATCCACTCGCAAAAATAAATCTGGTATATTTATTGTAATTTAATTGTTCTACTTTTAAATATTATTTATATTAATTGATTTGGTTGATTTTTATATTGACAATAATTGAAGATGAAACTGGTGGAAACACTGAAACAAAAAAACCACGTTTAGATGATACAAAGGAGATAACAGTAAATATTTTTACTTGGGAAATCTTGATTTAGTAATCACTGCACTTTAATCCTCAAATGTTTATATATATATTTAGAAGGAAAGAAAAAATATGTCTTAGAATGGACCTTTCATGAGGAGAGTGGTAAACCAATAAAATCTGTATGTAGATATATAAACATATTATACATTATTTAATGTTAGTAGCTAAAAGTTTATCCACTATTTTTATAGGAATGGAAAATTGCAGATGTCAGTATTAGTGATGCATTTTTTAAATACAAGTCTTTTGCTGAGGAAAAGGCAAATAATAATGAATTAAATTTTGTGGACCATCCTGGTGAAATCCTGTTAGCTGATGTTTCATTTTTCTTTGAAATTTGCACTAGAGGATTGGAACACTACACACCCCTACAAAAAGTATTGACTCACTTGATGATCTGCCAAAATAATCGAATAGACGGGTAATACAAATACTCGTTTTTTTACTAAAAAAATCAATGTTGTGTATTAGTAAGAAAATGTTTATTGAAATGATTACCATAACACTTTAAAATATCACATTGGGCTGATTGTTATTGATAATTTTATGATGTTTAAAAGTCAAATTAAAATTTTTCGAAAATTTTTTGAAAAAGTAGCACTTAGAGCTATTTTAAGATACAATGTTTTAACACATCTTGGGAACTTAGAAAATGTTGTTCCGTT